GTAGAGAATGAATTTATCAAACTCTGAATTTGGTTGTATTGCAACCATTTTTCTGTAAACACCTGGACTATTAAAACATTTAAAAATTTAAGTCGAGTGTCAGAACTTTATTAAAACAAATGTGAAAGCCAACTACTGGTCTATTTGCAACAGGAAATCCTTACAATTCTGGAACTTATACAAAATTGGAAATTTACCCTTTGGTTTTCCGTGCCAACAAACCTTTTGACATTGCAGAGCTTTTAAGCCTTGAAAGTAGAATACCACTAACAATCACACAGCTTCATGAAGATGGTGTATGACAATACAGAATGATGGTGTTTATTTTAGCAAATATGTCAAGTACCTTTTAAAGCTTAAATAATATCCATCAACATGAAATTGCTTGCCAAGATACTGTCAAACTCTGCTCTAAATTCCAGGTAGGAACTGTAAGTGTAAGGCACATCAATGATTGCTCCACATGTGTGTGCAACAGGTCTTCTCCCAAAACCTGTTTCAGCATTAAATGTCACCTTAATTTCTTCTGTGCATAAAACAGAGGACCCTGTGCAAAATCGCAAGAATTTCTCTAGTTTGCGCTGATCTGCATTCCTAATGTACCTTTGTAGGTAAGTGAATGTTGTCTGCTCTTTCTGTGATAGGGACAAAGCCTCTGTTTGCAGCATGTCAACTACTTTTTTGTTTGTTGCTTTTTTGGACTTGTATAAATGAAGGACATCAGCTGGATGAGACAGATTTAATGCAATGTCTTTGAAAATTTCATTAAAGCAATCTATGATATACTGTGGTTCTTGTAATATGACTTTATGAGCCATGACTTGTATCGCTTGCTTGATATTTTCCCGACATGGAATGCTGTGAGCCCCCATCTGTGAAAACAGATCCAACAAATTGTCCTCCTCATCCTCTTCCAGTACACCATTGAGAGCCTTCTCAATGGTACTTCGCTCGCTCTCCGACAAATACTTAGAAAAGGAGGACATCAAAACTTCTTCTTCTACTGCTTGAAGACCATGTACAGAGGCAACTATGAATGCCTTGGACAACCTGACTGGAAATACACCATGGTCAATGAGTCCTTTTGCCCAAATTCGGCCTAGTGCATACCACCTCTCTTTCGAAAAGTCTGGTCTGAGTTTTGGCACCCTCTCCTCCTCCCCTTCACAGAGCTCCAAGAACTGCTCCCAGAAAGCTGTATACACATCTCTTGACACTCCACTGTTGTCCACAGCCATTTCATTATTAAATTCCATTTTCAATTCTAATTCCATTATACTTTTGTCCATGAACAAATTAAGAAGGTCATCTATGACCATGGCACGCCGGACATGTGCATACCTTGGTTCTTTGGGATGTACTACACCTCCAGTAGAAGACTGTAATGCATCATTTTCTGTTGAAGGGATCATGTGTAATACAGCTGTTTGTGGAGCCTGGAACATAACATGAACAGTACATTTTAGTTGTCATATTCTTCATAACATAACCAAGAGTTCTAAAAGAAATAGGATATACATTATAATTTCAAAAAATCTTTTGTTTCATTATACAAAGAACTCTAAATTTTATGGAAGGTTGTCAAAACAAAATGAAAAGCCTTATAAAACCAATTTAGGAACTTCGTGACATTACATAGGTGTAATCTTATTTTTTATTAAAGCAAACAAATCATATACAGAAGCAAATGAAACCTTAACACAAAACACTTACTTCTGAAACGTTTCCATCTTCCATCTCAGGATGACTGTCTATCATGGGAAGCGTAGAAGCAAGCTCACCATCACCATCATCTGACCTTGACCCTATTTGTACTACTCCAGAATCCTCCATCTCATCCAGACCATTAACGCTGTTGAAGTTGGCCATCACTGTTTCGGTTTCTTGCATTACCACTGGGTTTTCCATACTATGAATTCCATAGAAATACTCAGTTTCCTGGTTTGAAGGACCAGGTGTTGAATGCAAGGCAGGATGTAAAAGTTCCACATCATCATCAATGACATACACAGGATCATGACCTTCAGTTCCATCTGGTAAAGCTCTGTGTTGTGGACTCAACAATGCTTCATCTGTGATAAGGTACTGGCTTGAGTNGTACAGAGGCAACTATGAATGCCTTGGACAACCTGACTGGAAATACACCATGGTCAATGAGTCCTTTTGCCCAAATTCGGCCTAGTGCATACCACCTCTCTTTCGAAAAGTCTGGTCTGAGTTTTGGCACCCTCTCCTCCTCCCCTTCACAGAGCTCCAAGAACTGCTCCCAGAAAGCTGTATACACATCTCTTGACACTCCACTGTTGTCCACAGCCATTTCATTATTAAATTCCATTTTCAATTCTAATTCCATTATACTTTTGTCCATGAACAAATTAAGAAGGTCATCTATGACCATGGCACGCCGGACATGTGCATACCTTGGTTCTTTGGGATGTACTACACCTCCAGTAGAAGACTGTAATGCATCATTTTCTGTTGAAGGGATCATGTGTAATACAGCTGTTTGTGGAGCCTGGAACATAACATGAACAGTACATTTTAGTTGTCATATTCTTCATAACATAACCAAGAGTTCTAAAAGAAATAGGATATACATTATAATTTCAAAAAATCTTTTGTTTCATTATACAAAGAACTCTAAATTTTATGGAAGGTTGTCAAAACAAAATGAAAAGCCTTATAAAACCAATTTAGGAACTTCGTGACATTACATAGGTGTAATCTTATTTTTTATTAAAGCAAACAAATCATATACAGAAGCAAATGAAACCTTAACACAAAACACTTACTTCTGAAACGTTTCCATCTTCCATCTCAGGATGACTGTCTATCATGGGAAGCGTAGAAGCAAGCTCACCATCACCATCATCTGACCTTGACCCTATTTGTACTACTCCAGAATCCTCCATCTCATCCAGACCATTAACGCTGTTGAAGTTGGCCATCACTGTTTCGGTTTCTTGCATTACCACTGGGTTTTCCATACTATGAATTCCATAGAAATACTCAGTTTCCTGGTTTGAAGGACCAGGTGTTGAATGCAAGGCAGGATGTAAAAGTTCCACATCATCATCAATGACATACACAGGATCATGACCTTCAGTTCCATCTGGTAAAGCTCTGTGTTGTGGACTCAACAATGCTTCATCTGTGATAAGGTACTGGCTTGAGTGCCCCGCTTCCCCTGAGGTATAGCCTTGCAAAGACTTCATTGAAGTTAATGGCTCAGCAGAAGGGGCAGAAGTTGAGTGTTGAGCAACTCTTCCAACATTGGGAGGCTATAAGGAAAAAAAGAAGAAAAAAAGAAAATCATACATAGACATCCATAAGATTGTGATGTCAAATAATACTACATCTAGATATATACTCTAGAACAGGGGTGTCAAACTCCAGTCCTCAAGGGCCGCTGTCCTGCAGTTTTTAGATGTGCCACAGGTACAAAACACTGGAATGAAATGGCTTAAAGACCTCCTCCTTGTGTAGATCAGTTCTCCAGAGCCTTAATTATTCTATTCAGCTGTGGTGCAGCAGAGGTACATCTAGAAGTTGCAGGACACCAGCCCTTGAGGACTGGAGTTTGATACCTGTGCTCTACACCTTTTAACAGTTTTGCTTAGATATTACCTGTTCAAAGAGATCATTTTGGTCATCGGATGAATGCTCCAACTCCTTTGTGCACAAATAAAGCCGTACCATTTTCAATTTAAATTGTTCATATAGTTCTGAAAGAGTACTGTCTAGAGGTACAGCTTGTCTTTTAAAGTCACACATGCTAAGTGTGAAGTCCATAATGGAGCCCTTTGATGATAGTCCACCAGGAAAAAACAACTCTTTTGCAGTGGTCATGACTTCTGACAGTGGTGGTTTTCTCCATTTCAAGGTGTCTGGTTCCACCTCCACATTTAGACCTAACTTGGTGAAAATCCCCGCTTTGAAAGTGCAGCCATCCCACTTCAATTCTGCGTTTTGATTTCACCGCGTTGCTGTTTTTAGGCCTTGCCATCAAGCCAGAATTTCCTACAGATGTTTGCTGGGGTACTTTGACATGTCTTTTGCTCATCATTCGCCTTGTTTCAATTGTTTGCCTAATTCTGTTTAAAATGCCCTCCTTGTCAAAGTTAGCTTCCATTCGTCGACAAAATGATGCAATAGCCAATCGGTCGCCATATGAAGGAATGTATCTTGAAAATTCTTCGTCCGTCATCACACAAATGACCCCTCTATCAATCTGCAATTAGATGTGAAAATGTACAGATTACAAGTACTTTTAAGTAAATACTGTGCAATACTTTTATATCACATCATATAAGATTGTATAATGTTTTGCAACATGCTGTATTGCAGGGGTGGGCAATCTTGATCCTCGAGGGCCGGTGTCCTGCAGCTCTTAGCCGTCTCCCTGGTCCAAAACACTTCATGAAACAGCTGAATCACTTCCCAAGTGCAGTCAGGTTCTCCAGAGTCCTGCTAATGACCTCATTATTTGACTCAGGTGTGTTGAGGTAGAGATGCAGCTAAAAGTTGCAGGACATCGGCCCTCAAGGTCTGGAGTATTATATAGTCATTATACTTGGAAATTGGAGTAGTGGTCAGTGGAAGAGAATTTTCCTTTCAGGACAACGATCTTAAAGTTAACTTAAATTACTACCCAATGACCAAACATAGTTTTTGTACAAAAGTATCTAGACTTATAATTAAACAAGGTGTAGTCTTACTATAAACTTTAACTGAATGTGTCATCACCTTATCCACTTTCATCCGATTTATGTCATCTTCTGTAACATGCCTTGAACGAAGGAAGGCTTCAAGATCCTCCTCCATGCCTATATACAATAATTTGGAAAATTTAGAACAAGTCCATAAGTACATATTTTCAAAACAAAGCTTTCAAAATACATAATGTACACAATTAATAAAACTACAAGAGTTTAAACTCATAAGTATTTCAATGTCACTTTTCTGCCAGGCACCATAAATTACATAAGCTGCAGCGTGTGTGTAAGCAGCTAAAAGAGATAGAGAAAAAGACAGAATGTACAACAGAAAGAAACTTAAAAAAATAAAATAAGCTCACCAGAGCAGCCCAGCCATCCTAGTAAAGCAGTGCCTCTCAATTCCAGTCCTCAGTCCTATTNACAGTGGTGGTTTTCTCCATTTCAAGGTGTCTGGTTCCACCTCCACATTTAGACCTAACTTGGTGAAAATCCCCGCTTTGAAAGTGCAGCCATCCCACTTCAATTCTGCGTTTTGATTTCACCGCGTTGCTGTTTTTAGGCCTTGCCATCAAGCCAGAATTTCCTACAGATGTTTGCTGGGGTACTTTGACATGTCTTTTGCTCATCATTCGCCTTGTTTCAATTGTTTGCCTAATTCTGTTTAAAATGCCCTCCTTGTCAAAGTTAGCTTCCATTCGTCGACAAAATGATGCAATAGCCAATCGGTCGCCATATGAAGGAATGTATCTTGAAAATTCTTCGTCCGTCATCACACAAATGACCCCTCTATCAATCTGCAATTAGATGTGAAAATGTACAGATTACAAGTACTTTTAAGTAAATACTGTGCAATACTTTTATATCACATCATATAAGATTGTATAATGTTTTGCAACATGCTGTATTGCAGGGGTGGGCAATCTTGATCCTCGAGGGCCGGTGTCCTGCAGCTCTTAGCCGTCTCCCTGGTCCAAAACACTTCATGAAACAGCTGAATCACTTCCCAAGTGCAGTCAGGTTCTCCAGAGTCCTGCTAATGACCTCATTATTTGACTCAGGTGTGTTGAGGTAGAGATGCAGCTAAAAGTTGCAGGACATCGGCCCTCAAGGTCTGGAGTATTATATAGTCATTATACTTGGAAATTGGAGTAGTGGTCAGTGGAAGAGAATTTTCCTTTCAGGACAACGATCTTAAAGTTAACTTAAATTACTACCCAATGACCAAACATAGTTTTTGTACAAAAGTATCTAGACTTATAATTAAACAAGGTGTAGTCTTACTATAAACTTTAACTGAATGTGTCATCACCTTATCCACTTTCATCCGATTTATGTCATCTTCTGTAACATGCCTTGAACGAAGGAAGGCTTCAAGATCCTCCTCCATGCCTATATACAATAATTTGGAAAATGTAGAACAAGTCCATAAGTACATATTTTCAAAACAAAGCTTTCAAAATACATAATGTACACAATTAATAAAACTACAAGAGTTTAAACTCATAAGTATTTCAATGTCACTTTTCTGCCAGGCACCATAAATTACATAAGCTGCAGCGTGTGTGTAAGCAGCTAAAAGAGATAGAGAAAAAGACAGAATGTACAACAGAAAGAAACTTAAAAAAATAAAATAAGCTCACCAGAGCAGCCCAGCCATCCTAGTAAAGCAGTGCCTCTCAATTCCAGTCCTCAGTCCTATTCTGCATGTTTAAGATGTGCCTCTATTCCAGAACAGCTGATCCAAATGATTGCATGACCATCAAGAAGCCTGTTAATCACCCTCAGATTCAATCCAGGTGTGTGGCAGAAGGGACACACCTAAAACATGAAGGGCAGGGGGGCCTGAGGACTGGAATTGTAGTAAAGGGGGAAACAGGAAGTGGTCAAGGGGTCCTCAGACTGTCTGGTGCCCCTAAATAATGCCTGATTTTTTTTTCATTCCTTTCACTGTCTGATGGTGTTGACAAAAACTTTCAACGCTATTTCAATTAAGTTGAAAAATATATAAAACTGATTTTTAATTCAACTTATTGATGCAATTATAATTGTTTATTTGGATACTTATACTCAATTGTCATAATATATTATTTAGTATTCCTTTAATTACTTTAGACCAGGGGTGTTCAAGTCCATTTCTTGAGACCTATCATCCTGCAACTTTTAGAAGCACCCTAACTCCAACAGACCAGGGTCAGCTCTAAACGGGCCTGGTAAGGAGCCACTCATCTGATTTAGGTATGTTGGAGCAGGGATGCATCGGAAAATTGCAGGATGGTAGATCTCAAGGACTGGACTTCAGCACCCCTGCTTTAGACTATTATTCTACTCCAGGTCAAGGGCTTTTACAGACACCTACTACATATTTTAAAATAAAAAGTATTCAGCAAACACCATGAAAACATATATTGTTGTGCTGACATTGCCCAGGTTAGTTTTAGTATTTGAAGAAATTATATTTTGTCTATATTTTATTGAAATTCTGTGCTTTATCCAGAGGACATGTTTTGTCTCTCTTCTCAAGAATCACTGATATCCATCTATCCATCTATCTATATATAGACCTATATATAGATATATAGATCGTGTGGTGCCGAAAAGGTAGACATGGGTGTGTATATATACATTAATGTTCCTTGTAATTGTATCTGGTATCATATTTCCCAGGTGGCTGTAATCATATATGCCATGAATGTGCAATTTATCAGTTGTTGTCTAAGCAACCGTGACATAACCGTGACCTGAAGGCATAACCAGTCTGTAGCAGGTCCCGCCACGAAAGTTTTGCTGGCTTTGATAATTCTCATGTTTCAGCATCATTTAACTGCCAAATAAAGAACGATTCTGTATTTTTAAAGATGGTGTCAGTCCTAGCCCTGCCATAAATCCCCGTACGTTCTATATATAACAGTGACACCGCTAAACTAGTGGCGTAGCGGAATGAAGTAAACTTTAGCCTGATTTAGTTGTATAGTCTAGTTATTGTCATTAAAAAAATGGTCGTCAACAAAATAATTTAGTTATCATCATCGTTAACGCAATTAACCTTGCATCCCCCGCCTCGTCACTCTTTCTTTAAGCAAGCGAACGGATGTCTGAGCTACCTTTTCTTCCAACGGACACGATTCATATTTGACATAGTTGTCATAAATGAAGCTAAAGATACATACATATTACCAAGCATACAGTATTTATGGTGAATTAAGATTATTTACCTGTTTCGTGGGAGTGTCTTCAGTGCTGCTCCAAAATGAACCGCTGGCCCAATGTGAGGGAGGGAGGGACTGTAAAGGCGCCGGAATCCAAAAACTTTTGCGAGGTAACGCAAAAACTTTTGCGAGGTAACGCAAAAGTTTTGCGAGGTAACGCAAAAGAAAAAAAATTCCCCATGTCCCCTAGGGGGCTCCGTAGTTTTGCGAGGGAACGCAAAAGAAAAAAAAATATGCCAATGTCCCCTAGGGGGCTCCGTAAAAAATAAATTAAAATCATATATAAGTTTCAAACCATGTTTCTACAGAATGATTAAAACATGCCTGGACTAAAACGATGTTTCCTATTCCTATTTTGTTGCCCAATCTTTTCAGTCAATCACTGTTTTTCAATTGTTTATATGTTTGAATTGTGTAAATAAAATGTTTTTAAAAGAAAAAAAAAAAGTCTTCTTCAAATCCAAATCTTTTCTTAGGATTTTCTGCTGTTGGATAATAACTATTTATAATTTTATATTTTACTTCTTTTTATTTTTGGATTACACCTGAATACTTTTTTTTTTTTTTTTATTAAGTCGGAAACATTGAGAGGAAAAAAATACTTTCAAAGAGGATAGCAAGGGTGTACATGAACAGATAAAGATCAATTACAATAAAAGAAAAACAAAATAGGTATCAACTATCGGGGGATTTATCTTAGCAAACATTTAAATCAAACATAGACAGCCATAGAAATAATAAAAACAAAAAGGTGAACGCACTTAGAATAGCAGATGTTTGGAGAAATCAAGTCTCAATTTTTTGGCATATTTGTCTTTTTTTTTTATTATCTTTTTAAGAGAAGAAAAAAAAAGGTTTTAAAATCATTAATAAACCAATGAAATGAAGGTTTAGAATGTCTCCATTTAGCACAGTGGATACGATATTTACCCAACGGCAGGAGGATATTAATAGTATCAGAAACAGGCTGGGGAAGATGGTCCATATAAAAAACGACATCATTCATTTTCAAAGAAATCCAATCTTTCATCTCTTTCCAGAAGCAGGAGGACACAGCTAAAACATATGATGAACAGTTTCCCTATTATTATTATTATTATTACAAAAGGAACATTGATCCACCCTAAAATCAAATCTTTTTCTTAAAAGTTCTGCCACAGGATAAATTTGGTTTATAACTTTAAATTGTGTTTCTTTGACTTTTGGTAGAATGGGCCATTTAACACATTTTGAGAAAGTTTTATCAGCTGTATCTGAACTAACAGGAATAGCAATGGTTAACCTTAACTTTATAGGGCAAGTTAGTCTTTTGGCTGCCTTGTACTTCCATTTTTTTTTTTTTTATTTGCCTCTACTATGCCTTCCAACGATATATATATATATATATATATATATATATATATATATATATATATATATATATATATATATATATATATATATTTAATATTAAAAGCAAAAGTTTTATATTTTTTTAAATATGTACCCAAAATCTTTAGTTTTACACTACTCTAAAAGCTGTGATGTCTAAAATGATGTGATGAGTTCTTTTGTTTGTATCTATTAACACATTTTAAAAAAAAGACATGAAGTTAAAGTGATGAAATACTTCCATCTAGTGGTGACTCAGTGGTATTGATTACATTTTTCCATAGATAAAAACTACCTCTTTCATTTTTTCTTTATCTAAACACATAAAACAAACTTATTTTTTTTTTAGTAAACCGAGTTTTAATTATCAAAAAGTATCAGTTTATTTACATGATTACAATAAGAGCAGAACAGTGGATTTCCAACCGTGGGAAACTTGCCATAAGTTGTTAATGTGCACAGACTGGAATCACACACAGATGTGTTTTCTAAACCTGATCTAGTTAATTAATACCTGAAACCTGCCTCCTGTTATATTCAATCCCACCACAGGAATGCCATGTGATATTATGCAATAACTTGTTATACAGAAAACGCAGCACTGATGTCTGCTAGGATGGTGATGTCATTGGCCAAAATCAGACATTATTCCACTTTAAAAACTAAATCAACACAAGCGACAGTTTTTTTCTGCAAAATAATAGCAATAAAAAGGTAGAACATTTTGATTCAAAGTGAAGTTTAATGGGAGGATGGTTGACCTCTATATGACCTAAAAAAATAATCTAAAAATAAAAGTAACACAATTGATCTTTTTTCATTTATTTTTATTTAACAAGTGATAATTTCAACTAGAAACACCTGCACTGATGAAACTCTAACATTCAATTTACTTACTGAGTTTTTTTCTACATGGGAGGGGTTTCAGTTTCATGCAGCAGAAACTCCAATTTCATGATGCGTTCTGGAGTGTGAACATGGTGCATCTGAAAATCAGAGCGATGAACTCCAGGTGGCGGGTCCAGATACTAATCTGACACTGCGCTGGGTTTGAATGCACCTTTAGATCAGTCAAACCATTTCTTTTTATTTAAACCCCTTTTTGAAACCTTAATTTTAAGCCATATTTAAGGACCATGCAAATACATTGTTCAGACAGAAATTGTACATTTTGTTGGGTTAAATGGGAAAAATATCAGACATTATGGAACAAAAGTTGTTTTTAAAAACAAACAGAAAAAAACACTTCTTTTCTCAAGGGTGTTTTTTTCAGGAAATGGAGAATATCTTAGAAAAGAATGCCCAAAACTAAAAAACAAAAACAAAACTGTCCTAGATGGTCCGTCTACACTGCAGAAAATGGAAATCTAAGTAAGTCATTTTTTTCTCTAATTGAGGTTGAAAGTAAGACACTTTGCCAATGGAACAAGACAATTTAAATTTAAAATAAGAAAAAACAATTGCATTGTCTTATTTTAAGTTCATATCATCTAATTACCTTATTTTAAGAGTAAAAATACTCATTCCATTGGTAAATCATCGTATTTACCTACTCAAATTAAGGGTAAATACACTTAATTTAAGAAATGTTTACTTATTTCTAGATCGTTTTTGCAGTGTACAAGGTAACGGTTAGGCTGGATTGGTTTACCTGAGAAGCGAAGCAGAGGCGCCAGCAGAACTAAAAACAAAGGAAGTACACTGCAAAAAATTGAAATCTAAATAAGTCATTGTTGCAATAAGTGCGTTTTTTCTTGAATAGAGAAGGTAAGTGAGACACTTTGCCAATGGAACAAGACAATTTACATTTAAAAGAAGAAAAAAACTATTCCATTGTCTTATTTCTAGTGCATTTTATCTAACTATCTTATTTTAACAGTAAAAATCCTCATTCCATTGGCTAATTATATTAATAACCTACTCAAATTAATGGTATATACACTTAGTTTAAGACATTTTTGCTCATTTCTAGAGCGTT